TGATATCATTACGCTAATCTCATCTTTGATCGTTTATGTTATAATTTTATTTATGGTTGATAATGTTTAATATTCATTTTTAGCTAATTTAAAATATTGTTTTGCATCTTCATTTCATAGAAGCTTGAAATGTGCATTTTTCATCTTTTTGAATGGATGTCTTATTGATAATTTTTTTGCTATACTTAAAATTTGCATTTTTTTGTGTCACTCTAACATGCTGGTGTGTATTTATATATTTTTAATTTTTTTTATATCCATTTGACGTGTTACTATGTATTTATATTGCTCCTCTCAATGTTTCCAGGTCCAGATCATATTGTTAACAATTTTGGCCACCCTACTCTTGTGAAAATCCGATCATTTAAATTTTTATAAATATTCATTTTAGTTTATTATGTTTCAAACAATTTTGACTATATTATTTTGTGATGCCTTATAGATGTTATTCCAAAATTGTATTAATTTTATATTTTACTTGGCGTTTTACTTGTGAGGCTGATCAACATGTACATTTTTAAGATAAGGACGGTTTATTTTGACCATCAATCACTGTTTTAATTGTCTTTCTCATCAGAACGCATTTCCTCTATCTGGTCTGTCTAACACGCACCTGCTTTCTTTGGATGCTTTGCTGGCCATCATTGACAGTATTGAGGAGAACTGCCATTATCGCATGAATAATAATTTGAAGAAGGATTCTGCCGATGGCCCTCATGACAATAATGGTGAGAGTTGAGGAGTTTTGTACACGCTGGTACTGACTATCAAAATTATGTGATCAGTTTTAGCTAGTGCTGTGGGAATTGATCGCATTATAATAACAACCTCATCTGAACATTTTTTTGTCAGATGTTACTATTAAGAAGTGCAATAGTCATGTTAACATATCAACGGCAACCTCACCGGGTTTCGGTTCTCTTGACAACCTACCTCATATATTGCCTTCAAATACTCGTTAGTTTTCTGTTTTGTTTTACAAAGTATTTTTAATTATAAAATAGCTTAATCCATTTTAAAAAAGAAGATAATGTTTTGTAATTATAGATGTAGAGTGACATTTCAAAGAAATTATTTCCTCCCTAGCACAAAATATCCATAGTCATGCTCCCTACGGCTGCTTTTATTGTGTATTTATTCATTAACTTGTTTTTCATTTTATTTGTTCTAAATCAGACCGTTAATGATTTTAAATGGAAGTAAAAGAACAAAACTTACAATTTTTATGTTATATTTTAACTTTTGCTTTCTCAGATGCATGTTTTCTAGACCATTTGATCATTTGTCCTTTTGAATTAGCGTGTTGCAACTTCATTTTCTTCGAGATGGATTGGACTTAATTTTGCTTTCTTTTTTATTTTATTCAAAACCGTAATTAAATTAATTATTCAGAATCCCTGGTGTCCAAATCTCTATCAACCAGTGAGTCAGCTTTTCAGACAGCACTTAAATCTCCCAAGATAAGACCGAACAGGATACCTCCTTCCCTTAAGATTCCCAGCTCAGACGAGCTCAATACTGTCAAGTACAAGAAGAAGGTGGGTAACTGATTAATGTGATTAAGTAAATATATACGATGATAAAATTTTGATAATATTGTTCTTTGTAGTCACTTCAATTTGCTGTTGCAGCCACATGCTGTTGTTTCTCCATACTCGTGTTTGGGCAATATATTCATTTTTTGATGACGTTGATTTATTGGCATCCATTCCCTATTCGTCTAATGTTTTGTATGTACATCACACCATCACACTCATGCAACCACGTCACATCCACTGATATGATGCAGATGATTTTGAACGCCTGCAGATATATCAAGCTGGAACAGAGCAGTTTAACGTGAAGCCACAAGAAGGCATCATGTTCCTTCAGAAGCACGGTCTTCTGTCTCAACAACTAGACCCTGGTGAGATCGTCTCGTTTATTAAACAAAATCCAAAACTTGATAAGAAACAGATTGGGGAGTTCATTAGCAACCGGAAAAATAACAACATTCTAGAGGCGTACCAAAAGTAATATTTTATTTTTATTATAAAAAACTGAAAATTAATTTTTTTGCGATTTTGGAGTTTCGGACGGACAGCATTCGAACTGGTCATGAATGTCGCAATAGCAACAAGGTAAGACATGGCACTTCAACTGTCTCTCTCAGCTAACTTGCCGGCAAAATTGTGATGTAACTTTTTTGTTATAAAATATTTAAAATACATTAAGTTAATTTTTTACGTTTTGTAAGACAACACGTTAAACCTCGATGATGTTGAGTGTGTTTAATTTCATATCTCTTTAACGATATTTATTGAGAGCTACCTAATGAGTTTTAAATGTTAATGCGAGCTTTTTATGGGAATTTCATATTTTACATGATTGGCACAGATCTTTCAACTTTGAGAGCACCCGCATTGACGAAGCACTGCGCATGTATCTGGAAACATTTCGACTGCCGGGTGAAGCTCCAGTCATCTCTTACTTGCTGGAGCATTTTGCTGAACACTGGCATGTGAGTTTTTTTTGTATATATTTGCTCAAGAAATTTGAGCACTACAAAATTTTGTTAATGATATTTTTTATGATAAAAATACAATGGATTTCTATAAATAAGCTGATTTTCTAAACCAACGTAGAACAGACTTGACCCAATAACATTTTAAAATTCAATATAACCGTAAATAGAAAATGAACAATGAGCCATTTGAAAATGCTGATGCAGCATTCACTCTTGCATATGCTGTCATTATGTTGAATGTTGACCAGCACAACTTGAATGCTAAGAAACAAAATACTCCAATGACATGCGAGGTTTGTATTTTCAAATGTATAATTGTGTACGTGTTTGTTTAAATGTTCGGTTCAAGTTCTTCATCATTTTTAGTTTTGAAAATCTTTGTTCTCTCATGGCAGAACGGTTAAAAAAATCCTGTAAGCAATTGTGATGAAGTCGACATCTCTTAGAGAATAAGCAGTTAAAACTACTACTTCATAGCATTTTGACTAGGTTGACGTCAAGATGATTACGGCGATTTGATCCAAACTTATCTTCCATGTTTGAATTTATACAGCTATCACATCTAAACCATAAACTGAATCAGTGCTTAAAACATGCATGTTTAGTAATTTATTAATATATTTTTGACTTTTTACTTTTTAGAATTTCAAAAAAAATTTGTCAAAAGTTAATGGAGGCCGTGATTTTGATGAGGAGATGTTGGAAGAAATGTTTCAATCGATCAAGTTAGTTATTATCGCATCTTAAATCAGTTATAGTCACATGTTAGTAAACCAACAATTTAATTTGTTGCTCGCTAGTTTTCTAGCTCAACGAAAATATTCCGTTTCCTTTTTTGTTAGATAGTTGCAAAAAACTTATAACTGCCCCGCATTATATGCACAAGCATATTTTCCAGTGTAAAGTTTTCAAACTGTTATTATCAATGCTAGAAAGTCAGCTCTTTTTATGCTCGCTGTTTTGTAATGGTTTTTTACTTATTCAACAGTTTGTTGAATCTATTGTTTTTAATATATTTGTGGTTGTTGATTTAGTTTTTAAAAATTCTTTGTCTTATTTATTGTTATGGTAGTTATTACATTTTGAAGCATTCAGTGCTTGCTTGCGCTGATAAATGTTTTAATTTTCACTCCTTTATTTTACATGGTAAACATAAAAATACAGAACTTATGGAAATTCATTTTTTTTAATGCTTAAACTGATGAGTGCTATATAATTTATTAATTTAAATTTTTTTAATATTTATATCAAGAAACGAAGAAATTGTAATGCCTGCTGAACACACAGGTCTTGTCAGGGACAACTATTTGTGGAAAGTCAGTCATCTAGAATGTTTAAAAGTAGATTAAATTAAATACGAGGTGCTTCATTTCATGCAATTATAGAAATAGCAAAATGGATGTTGGTTATTCATACGATGATGTATTATTTTTAGTATATAATCAACAGAATAGTTTTCTTTTCAAATGATTGTACACATAAATTCGTCAAGTTATAAAAATAAGAAAAAATTGAAGTTTGTGATTATCATTCCAACCCGACCACATTAACAGGCGTTATTGCGTCGAAGTCAGTCAAAAGACCTCGGCTACCTGCATGCTGCTACTGGATGCTTCGATAGAGACTTATTTTCCATCGCATGGGGGCCCACTGTGGCCGCTCTCTCTTTCGTTTTTGATAAGAGCCCCGAAGATGCCATCATCCAAAAAGCCATAACAGGATTCAAGTTGGTCGTTTGTGTGATATGCTGATGCTTCAGTCTTTAGATAGATGTCCAACGAAGGTCGATTTATTAACAAACAAATTATAAATTATTAAATTTGCAAAATATAAAGGGCATGAATGATTATGCAAAATTAAGATTAACATTAATATATAAATTTAAGCCTAATCAATCATAAAATTTTAAAATAAAATTAGCATTACTTAGTAACTTTTGTGATAACCAAAACAAGCAAGCAAGCAAACAAACAAACAAACCTTAGGAAGTGTGCATACATATCTGCATATTATGAAATGAGTGACGTGTTCGATAACTTGGTCATCTCCCTCTGCAAGTTTACCACATTGCTTTGTTTTTCTGAGGTCTGTTCAACCTTTTCACTTTCTATTCAATTTCATTACATCACCAGTACCATCATCATTCGATAGTCTCACTTGATTTGGGTTCTAATAAAATTTTTCATCGAAATGAAGCTTTGAGCTAATATACCAATTATTATTCTATTCTATTAAGTTATAAATAAAAAATGCATTTTTTGAAACCGTGATGATGTTCATTGCGGTTTTCGGAGATGAAAGAATATGAAAGAGATGAAAGATGAAGGAATAGCATTGAGACTTCAACTTCAATCTGTGGCATCCTGTTATGTCATTTTTGTACCTTATGAGGAGGAGAGGATACCTAGTATCAACAGGACTTTGCATCACTTCTTTGAACACGTGGATCGTGTTGCCACTGTTTCCATATTAAGTCAACGTTGACAGATTCAAATGTTTCAGTCATTAAATGGTTCAAAATTTGTGCGCGGATATATTGGTCTCATAGAACTTGACAATCGGATTATTAATAAAATTACGAATAATTTTTGAAATATTTGTATCACATGCAAATAGAACGAATTCAAATTGATGTAAAATTAAGTTTAAACTATTGAAATATTCTAAATGTTTCATTTGATAAGTTTGGTAGGGTTCTACACAATTATTAACCGATGATATTCCAACAAATTATTGTCTTGATCACTACAAATTATTGTCTTGATAAATTTCTAAAAGGTCGTCATTCCGTATTGTAATTAATGCTGTTTGAAATGAAAAACTCACACTGTCACTGAGGAGCTTTGTCTTTGATCGACTTGAAACTTCAATTCAGTCGGTGAGATGGTGGGATTCATGAGTGTGTCGATAGTACTATAGTACGTCGAGCTGTTGAACGTACATAACTCGAGTCCTTTGCTCGTTCTGCGCACAGTGCAAAAGATTTATTTAACTGAAGCTGTGTTGAATCTATGATGACTGCTGAATCTTTTGTAAATTTGAACGAGGTTGACGTTTAATTCTTTGATGAAATTTTATTCTTTTTAGTTATTTGTTGAAGTGTAAATTTATCGTTAGGTTGACACATTTGTCAAGAGTTTTTATTGAGCTTTTTACACTTTTTGACAACGGGTATATTTTCTCACTTATTAAAACTAACACGGGGCTGTTTGTTAGCAGCTGATTTCAATTTACTAGATCAGTTGGAAAGTTTAAAGTTTCGCGATATTAGCAAAAAACACCAAATTTGGTGCATATTTACATCTCAAAAACATGTAAACCAACGTGTTGTACATTACACCAACGTGTTGTAAGTTAGCGTTTGTACACCAACGTGTTTTAACTCGATGCAGTCAGCTGATTCACTCGCCATCTCATTCGGCAACAACTTGAAAGCACAACTGGCTGCACGAACGGTATTTGCACTGACTCACAGACACAGCGACATCTTGCATGATGGATGGAGGAACATTCTGGAATGTATCACGCAACTGTTCAAGGCCAAGTTACTCACTGAAGTTCTTGTTAAAGTTTGTGTCTTTTTGTTCAGAGATCTTTAGATCAAACGTTTTGCTTTCTGGTTTAAATATCTGATTGTATAGATTGTTTATATATTCACGGTTCAATGTTTTTCAATTAACTAAAATTTTCATAATGTATAAAATGTGTTTTAATGCATTAATTAATTTTTAATAGCTACGTTTTTTGACATGTTTTTTTAGTTTTCATGTAAGTTACGTTTTCAATGAAACTGCGCCACAAGTACCTAATTATTTCGTGGCAGCGTTGCGCCAGATTCGGAAATAAATGTTTTTGAAAAATGAAAGTTTCAAGTTGTTGTCAGATGAACAAAAGAAACACTCAATTGTTATGCAGGTTGAAGATTTCCTCGATCCCAGTGGCCGCATATCAATCATTAGAGAGGAACAGTCAACTCAGCATCGGTTTGTCCATCATTCCTTTCAATCTGTCACTCGGTACAATCATCATCATCAATTATATGTTCATGAACAATTAGATGATGATTTTGTGTTTGAAGATGAAAAGCCATACGTAAATGCACTGTGGTGTCACTTTTTTTAAATTTTCCACGAAGCCATTTAAAAAATACTGACAAGTTATCTTGGCGTACAACAAATGAACTTTTCACATATATGTATGTATATATATATATTTATATGACCCTCCTCTTCACAGTCGCACCGACAATCGAAAAGTATAACTTTAAACGTTTGAATAGACGAACTATATGTTGATAAGCGATGTTTCTCATGATTTTGGCATCCACTTTATTACCTGACAATATTTTGAAGTATTCTTTTTTCGCTCTTCCGCCATCCCTCCTTGCATTGAAGTTTTAAATCTGTCCATAAGGTGAAGAAGACTGACTTTCTGAGCCAGTCAATCAATATTTTTTGAGTAATTTTGACCAGCTTAATTTCTTAACTAGTATTTCTTAACCACCATTTTCAGTATCCTAATTGTTAGTTTTTTACAGTCTTTCCACGAACCGACAGCTGCTGGTCTGCGAACCGTTGCTGCCTGTTGAACCGTCACTTTGAAATGAACTGCATTAGATAAACTAACATTAGCAAAGCAACCATTTTTACTTTATTTTGATTATTATAGAACACATAATTATTTTAGAATTTTATTTATTAATGCATCTTTTTCGTTTTTCTACCATCAGCTAGCATTATAAACGTTGAAAGTAATTTTCGTCACAATCAATAAACTCTTTATATATAATTTTTTGGTATCTTCACTATTGTATACTCATCATTAAACTTCATGTTTTACACTCACGTCTATCACTGACATCTGAGAGATTTGAGTTATCAGTAAATTATTGGGTTAAGAATTAGTTATTGAGTTATGAGTCTTCGAGGAGTTCTTCTTTATTAGTTATTGAATTCAATATTGCGTGCGTGTGTTTTTCATTAAGATATGGATGTTTGGTTGTTAACTTGCCAAGGCCTGATACTTCAGGTTTGAATGCGTTGTAAAAAACTTTTTTCGCATTCTACCAGAACTGATTCGAGCATGTTCAGCAATCTGTACACCTTCTTCTCGCTTAGCAGTGATGCACCACAGTCAAAAACGCCCGCTTTGGAAGATCAAGATTCCATAAAGAGGGCACAGGATTGCATATTAGAGTGCCATGTGGAGCAGCTCATCATTGATAGCAAATTTCTTAGAGAGGAGTCACTGCAAGAATTATTAAAGGTTCTCAGATTTTAGTAATAATTATTTTGACGTGGAGAATATTAGTTTAAAATAACTTGTATAAATTAATTTCTATGTTATAATTAAACGCAGGCGCTCATATTTGCATCGAGATGTAGCGATGGCCTGGAGGACGCAGTGCATGGTCAGCATGGAGACGAAGAGACGCAGGTGCTCAGACTGGAATTGCTCTTCAAAGTAGTTCTTCAAAATAGGTGAAAATGAAGATTTGGTGATTATAAAAATTTGGTGGTGGTGGGGATGTTGTTGTTGTTGTTGTTGCCCTTCCTTAGATGTTCAGTGGGCGCTCCAGGCAAGGCTTGAGCCAGTTTGCCACTGCGACCGGGTTCCTCATAAGTCTATGATCTTTGTATGGGGTTCCCGGAACAGCTAAACAGATGGGAGACATTGTCGGATGTTTATGGCAAAAATTGCAGATGTCGTTGTGCCCTCTGTCTATTTTTGCTCTGAAGCTCTTGAGAAGAATGCTTGGGCCAGAACGGGGTTGAACAAAGGTCCGTCTGATTGCCCTGGGTAAACATTTTTCTGATTTGTTCATTTTCGGTGTTGGTGGTGGCCATCCGTTGAGCAGCACCGGCGCTAAATATGGTTAAGAAGCGGTTTTGGCGGCGTTGCTATGGAGACTGGAGGATGCCTGCTTCATGGATACTTTGTTGATGGTGTCGGGTGGCACTTTTCCTACCGTCTGAGACCATCTTGAGCTGATGGTGCTCTTCATGTTGCGATGGGGTGCTTGGTGATGATAAGGATTTGGTGTGTGGCGATGTTGATGTGTGTTGTGATAAAGCTTGTTACATTATCGCAACGATTGTACTATTAACAAGTTCACTTATTAACATTTTTAATGATATTCAGATCGCAATCTTGCAAATAGTGATTTATTAATATAAAACAAAAGAGATTGATAGTTTAAATTGGGATGACTGAAATTCTACATGATTGTTAACTGGTTTCATAGATATTCAAACAGGATTGTGGACACTATATATATTATGTGGATAACTGATGGGTGTAATAGCGTTATGTAAGGGTAGTTATTATTGTTATCGACTTAGCAGCGTTAAAATAGTACTCAGTCAATTAGGCAGTTAAAATTCAGCAAATACTTTTATAGATTCATGTTTGCTCCATGTAAAGTCAGCTGCGACAATTTCATATTTACGTATACATCTAGGGATCGAATTGCTCCATACTGGTCGAGTATTGAAGATCACCTGTACAGCATCCTAGTGAACAGGACAGAGGCGACATTTCTTGTGGAGAGGGCAGTCGTTGGTATTCTGAGATTAGCTGTTAGGTTGCTCAGAAGAGAAGAACTTGCTCATCAGGTTTTCAAAATTTCATTTCATGAGTACATGCAACTTGGCGTTGTTTCTCTATTCATTATCCGTCTACAAATGATTCACATCGTAAAAATTGTTATTAATTTTCAACTTTGTTTAGGTCGTAATTGTAAACCACATCTTATTTCTTTTAACGACGCATCGAGTTTCATTTTCTAAATTATGTCTGTTTTCCAACAAATCTTAAGTGACGATATACATGAAAAGATGCTATCTTGAGATGAAACATTTTATAAGTGCAAACGATTTTTTATAAGGCACAACACTATGTTTTTAAAGTGCGAATAAAAGCTGGAGGGTTGTATGTGCTAGTTTGAGAAAATATTATGAAAAAAATATAAAAATATTAAGAGTTATTGAAGAAATGGAATTATAAATGAAGCGACTTCGTAATTGAAATATTTTTTTTTTATTTGACAGGTTTTAAACTCTTTAAGAATAATCTTATTGATGAAACCAGAAGTGATACACACGTATATATCGAGACATGTGGCATATGGAATGCATGATCTTTTGAAAGCCAATGCCTCCAGCATTCATACCACTGAAAATTGGCAGGCTAGTTTATATATATGAAATTTACCGAATTTTTAGCGTTGAGGATTTTACCAGTTGAATAAAGTATTATGTCATTTGTATATATTACAAAAATACGATGTCCACAGCTTATAAGACCGACGAGAAAATATTAAAAAGGATTGTAAACGGTAATGTAAAAACTATCAATGAAAATGGTAAATTAAAACTTGGGATTTATTACAGGAACAACAAAACGTCATCCTTTGTTCTTAAAAATAATTTCATGAAAAGTTAATGTGTTAATAATGAAGAGCAGTCATCTAATATATTCTTTCTTATAACTGTATATACGACAGTCTGAACCCAAATTTCATATATATATATATATATATATATATGTGTGTGTGTGTGTATATATGTATGTATATGTATATATATATATATATATATCATAATCAGCGTAAATTACTGGACGTCGTCTGACTAGATATGTTGAAAAAAACAAAATTCAGTGCTTTTTTAAGTTCGTGTAAATTAATTATATTTCAAATTGAGCAGATTATATTCAATATATTGTGCACGGTTGGAGCATGTATGGATACGTCGTCGTCAATGAACGATCACTGCAAGCCTCCTGATGAAGACGGTAGTATTTCATTAATTGCCCAATATATTCGCTCTCATTCGTTGGTCTCAAATTGTTTCATTTAAAATGTATAATAAAATGATTGATCGTCAATTACATAACAGATGTTTTGACCTTTTATTATTTTTATGTTCAAAGGTGCACAGTCGGATAGTGAATTGAATTCTGTGAAACGTGTATCCCAAGACAGAGGTTATACGTCAGACAGCGAGTTGTATGATGACAAAAAGTCTACATCAACTGAAAATAATGTCCCAGAAGATCTGGGCACACCATCGAAGATGTCTTCAGCTAAGAGTGCATCAAGTCTTCATTCTAATTGGCCAAATGTGAGTTCAAATGAGTTTCTATTTTACCACTCCTAAATACCTTATTCGACTCTTAATGTAATTAAAATTGGTGTTTATTTTCATTTACATATAAAAAGCTTTGCTTTATCTGCAGACATATCAGAAAAACTGCTCTCGCGAGAAATATGTGGATGGACCGAATTCTAACGAGCACCAATTTAATATCGAGCCACAGAGCTACTCCATTATTTTGAATGAAAATCTCGGTCGTCACGATTTGAAATCTTTTTCCAAATGCTGCGAAACATTGAGTTTCCTGGTCAGAGATGCAGCCCATATTTCACCATACAACTTTGAATCGTGCATCAGGACTATTCGAGTTTTTGTGGAGGCCAGTGTGGACGGGGGAGGTCCTTGTTTTTTTGTTATTTCAATTATTCTGATCGTTATTAATGTTAATAATTTTAATTATATTTTTTATTATACTAATTTTAATTATACCATTTTTACCACATTTCTAGAATAGTTTTATATTTTCAATTGCAATTCATTTAAATTTCAAAGAATTGTTTTTTGCTTAATTACATTTGGATTATTGAACTAATAATTGTAACGTAATCATTCAACAGTCCATTATAGGTGTTCGTATCAGGATTTGCAGCACCAGTCCTCAAAAAAACTTACTTCCCAGCATGGGACGCACTTCTTTAAAAGCTCGAAAATGAAGAATAGGAAAGATGCATCATCAATGCGCAAGTCTCGGTCGTCACCAAGTCATCTCCTGGGACCAAATCGTCCAAACAACAACAACGTGATGCCCTCGGATGACGAGGATGGTGATTCAGATGCTTATCAGACCATTTCAATACAGCTCCTGGATCTCATGCATACACTGCACACGAGGGCTGCCGCAATTTTTAACAGTTGGGCTGAAGAAAAACAGTGGAGTGAGGAGGCTATAAGGAGGAAGATGGCAGATGTTGCTGATGATGAACTGAAAGTTGCTGAAGATGAGGTTGGTCACTTTGTTCATGTATCTAACAAAAGTAATGTCATTTAATCATTACTAGCAGTTCTACTTTGTCCACAATTTTTTATTTTGTCCATGTTTTCAAAAAATTTCAGTATTTCGAGCCATATAATTTACACGACTAGGTTACCCCTGCAATGCCAAGGAATACAACAGCACTAAGTGAGGCTCAGTTGAGCTCTACAACCACTTTATGGTCGGCATGTTGGTGTCCTCTTTTACAAGGTGACTAAGCAATAAAATCTTACACATATACATTCATTATTAAATATAAGAATAGATATTGTTATTATTATTATTTATTAAAGTCAATTTGTACAGCGCCTAATAACAAAAAAAAATCTCAAAAAACGTCCCTAAAAATAAATGAACAAACCAAACATTAATCAAACGAAGACAAAGACATGGTTAATTCTCCGAAAATAAATGGGCTTTCACCTCCTTTTTAAACAAAAACAATGATAGATCTGGTCTTCTTAGAAACGCCGGTAGACTGTTTCAAACCACCGGTCCATCCAGCAACAGCAATATTGCGTGATCCGGTCTGTAAATTTGTTGTCGGCACAACCAGGAGGTTCATGTCATTTGATCTCAATTGCGAACCCAACACAGATGTTTTTCTGATGAACATGTCTGCCAAATACTGTGGTGCTAAACCATGTAATGACCGAAACGTTAAGACAGCAATTTTGAAAATTATTCTTTCAATTTTTAGCCAGTGTAGGTCATTCAAGATTGGAGTCACGTGATCGAACTTCAGATTTTTTGTGACAAGTTTTGCAGCTCGATTTTGAATAGACTGAAGTACAGCTATTGACTTGTCAGGTATTTTAAAGTATAAACTGTTACAATAATCTAATCTGGATGTAATAAAAGCATGTACCAGTGTTTCCATGGCAGATCTGTTCAAATAGTGTCGAATCTTGAACAATTTTCTGAAATGCATCATACTTGCAATTGATAGCGACTTTATTTGATCTTTCATTGAGAGCTTGCTATCCAACCATACCCCCAAATTCAAGGCTGTAGAAGCAAATGATACTTCAACGTCACCAACTTCAACCGAGTTTATATTAAGTCTTGACAACTGCCTGCTGCCATGTACCGACAGGAAGCAACTGAGTTTTACCCCGGTTCAACTTCAAGGAATTGCTCAACATCCAACGTTCAATCTCCATCAAACAACCAACAAGTTTATCAATCACGGGCTGAAATGTCTCTGGATGACCTGTAGCCACTATCTGTATGTCATCTGCATACGCATGACCAACAAGTCCATGCGACATTATTATTTTAATTATATCCGATGTAAAGAGTAGAAACAAAACTGGTCCTAGCACTGATCCCTGAGGAACACCTGTTTTTATCCCCTTGACAGATGATAAGACTTTTCTAAACAAAACCTGCTGAGTTCTACCCGTTAGATATGATTCAAACCAGGCGAGTACCGTTCCTGAAACTCCAAAATTATTCTGCAATTTTACCAGAAGCTTGTTATGATTAATGCAGTCAAAAGCGGACGACATGTCGAGAAAGGAGAGTAATGATATCTTCCGATCATCCATGCCTGCAAACATGTTTGACAACACATGAAGCAATGCAGTTTCAGTTGAGTGGTAACACCTGTAGGCCGATTGGTTGAGTGGCATTAAATTGTTCGTCGTTAGATAATTCATCAGGAAATCAAGAACAACACGCTCCAAAACCTTTGAAACAAAGGAAAGGTTTTATAATGGTCTGTAGTTACTCACCTCATTTGCATCTAAGTTAGCTTTTTTCAAAATCAGTTGAATTATCGCGTGCTTACAGTTAGAAGGAAATTTACCAACGCGTAAACAGAGGTTTACAAAACTCGCCAAAAAGCAGACAAATGAGTCCAAATATCTTTTAAAGTTATGCGTAGGGATTATGTCTAAACTGCACGATTTCGTTGGTGATTTAAGTACCGTTTCCCTCAACTGAGTTTCAGTAACCAACGGAAAGCATGAAAACGTACATTTATTCAACATCGAGACTACTTGAAGCGGAAATCCAGAATGTGCATTTGTTGTTTCTGTTATCCTAGCAGTTTTATCTTCAAAAAATTGTAAAATCTGATCAGCGTTTAGAGCGTTGTTATCATTAAATGAATCGTTTTCCGAACTTTTATCTAACATTTTATTGATTTTTTTGATTTCTGTTACTACTTACGACATCGTTCCAATAATGCGTACGCTTGTCAGAAAAGAGTCTGTTTTTAGCCATCAATGAGAGTGTCCATCTTTTTTTCCGCCCACTTTCCGGACGGTTCCTATAAATTCTTTCCATCTTCCTACAGAATCGCTTTGCACGTCTACACTCACCAAGGTGCAGCCTTTGTCTGCCTACGATAAATCACCCGCATAGGCACTAAATTGTCAAAAATTCGTTCAATTTCACCACTAAACACAGCCAATTCATAATCCACATCATTAGATTGACATTTTTTTGCCACAGGAGAGTTCGCTAGTGCTTCAACAAAACATTTTTCGTTCAGATCTTTCCACGGCCTGATACATGCTTTCACCAATTTTGGTCGGACTTGATTAAAAGCCACTCTCACACCTACGTAACTGTGGTCTGAGTATACCGAACACGGGTCAATCTTAGTATCAAGAATTGGAAAATCATGTGAACAAATTACTAGGTCTTACGTACCTCCCGACACATGCGTTTGTTGATTAACATGATTGACCAACTGGAACGAATCAAGTATCTCATGTAGTCGTAGAGTGAAAGGACTATCCCTCTTTTCAACGTGAATGTTAAAATCACCCATAAGTACAACATGAGTCTCCGACATTGTAATAAACTCTAACATAGAAATCAACTCTTCAAAGAATAATGAAGTCGTCTGTTCCGAGCCAGGTCTGTAGAGGGCAATTAAACAGAACTGATCAATTCCAATCTTCATAGATGTCATGTATCATCTTATTTAAAATTATGTTTTTATCATATGTTGAAAATTATACGCTATAACAAATCTCAAACAGAATCTACAGCGTCAGCAACAACTACCTATAGTTATAACCTGCCAATTCAATTAAATCAAATAAGTTAGAGAGCAAAGCATTAATAAATTATTATTAAATTGAATATTTTGAACTGACGAAATTCAGAAGATATGTTGTTAGATTATTACTAACAACAACGATATGGTCAGATGAACGATTGTTTGAAAATTGTTCTTGTGATGTTCTTGCAATCTCACAGACCAAATTGGATCCAACTTTCCTTGTGTATTGTTTTTCAGATTCTGTGGATTTTAAGATTTTATTCTATAACCACATTTCTCTTTCTTTTCATCAACTTTTTCTTTCTTGTTTAGATTTTATTGTGTTTTAACCAATTGTGCTTTCTAACTGTTAATTTTACATCTGCATGTAAGTTATCTTTTGTTCACATTTTCTGTCTATCAATTTTTTTTAAGTTCTCTGTTTATCATTTAATAAAATATTCTGAAATTTCTGTTTTTCTTCCTAAATGTTTCATCTAATTTAATCTTACTCAGTCATATTAGGTCTTCATATACATTTATTCCATACTATATCTAACTTACCTGACATTTATCAGCAATCTTCGTTATATTTCCAGACCAATGTCAACTTGGCTTGTGGAAGATTCTTTTCTATCCAACTTTATGATTGACTGATTTTGTTGTGCTCATGCCAGCCATTTTTTTTATTTTACTCTATCACATTTGTGAAACAATCATCTTTTTATTGCAGCGGAACGCGATCTTTAACTTCTTGATTTTTAATGCTACGCACATGTATTGATTGAGGGCATTACATCTGAAAAGTCGCAATCCTCGTTTGGACCAATCTACAAATGAGCCTGCATTGTTTATTTCAACCAACTTAATCAATTTTTGAAGTTTTCCAGTAAGGTACCAGCAAGCACATTGTTCATTTTCTAGTTTTTAGTTTGCGCCCCTTTCAAAATTAATGTTAAGGATGAAAATAATTGAAAGTTTTTCTCAAGTTGAATACTTTTATTGAACGAGATTTGTACAAGCTGCTAAATAAAACTGTTAGAAAAAATTTAATTACGGCATATTTTTCAGGCATTGCTCGTTTGTGCTGCGACAACCGCAAACAAGTGAGGAACCATGCACTGACCTACCTTCAACGGGCGCTTCTTGTACACGACCTTCAAGTTCTGAAGGCTGATGAATGGCAGGATTGCTTCAGCAAAGTTTGATTTCACTGAATTTTATTTTCATTTCAATTAATTTTAATGAAAAATCAGTAAAGGTTTTGGTTTGGTGTTGAGAAAATTTTTGTGATATAAAATAGAGAAGAGTAGAGAATGTATTTGTGGGTGCAGAGTGTTGATGTGGTTTATTAATTTTAGTTCATTTTTATTTTTTTAAATTCATTTTTTTTAAACACAAAAAATATTCCAATATGCAAGAAAATGCATAAATAATATTAAGAAATGAAATGACAGGAACTAAAACGAATGCAAAAAATAATAAAAAAAGAAAAATAAATTTAAAAATAATTTAAAAATTAAATGAAAAGTTTAGGTTAAAATCATCATAGATGAAATTTTTTATGAACTTTTTAAATGGAATATTTTAGCCTATGTTAATAATATTACCTTTGAAGCGTGTTTGTGCTATGTTTTGATAGTGGATACTAATAAAAAGCCGATAGAAACCTCATGTGTGTCATGAGGGTTTAGGGCAACATTGTATCGAGTGGATGATAGATATCTTAATTTTGGATGGCTAGACAAAGCCAGTGTAGATCATCAAAGATGAGCTACACTGTTTTTTAAAAATTTTAAATTTTTTAACGAGTTAATGAAATTTACGTAGGGTCAAAAGGATAAGAACAAAATTTTTAAAAGTTCATTTAAAATTTAAATAATATTAAAACATTTTAATTGATATTGTTTTCTCTATTTCTTTCAATTATCCGTAAAAAATTATTTCAAATTTTAAATTTACAATAGTAATATTTATTTCAAATTTAAAATGAAATGAAATATTAAGTGATGCTTTAAAATTGGAATTCCAAAAATATAAACGATGTTTTAATTAATTTATTACTTTATCTATTTTATTCAATTCACGTCAAAACACTCCTGGAAGGATAATTTAAATAATGCATGATAAATTAGTCTAAACAAGTTCTCGGTTCTAACACTATCCATCAGCGGAAGACCTGAGAAGCAACCTACTGCTCTACTCAATCATTAAAATCCAATCACTGTAAAAATCGTTATTTTTGAACTATCTGAATTATTAAACATCCAACAAATATTAAGTGTCATTTTGATTTAAATTACTATAGAAACAAGCTGCAAACATTTTATTTAATTTGACCTATATTGGAAAATGATGTTAACTGTTTTAGCCATTTTGAAGCGCTTTGTACGGTTAATAATTTTTTTATTAAATCTAAAGTTAAATTTAAGTCATTTTTTTTATTTAAAGTTGGTTGTTTTTTCACGTTTAGGTTTTGTTTCCACTTTTAAGTTTGTTATTGGAGACGTTGGATGGAGCCGACAGAGGTGGTGCCGAGGAGACAAGAATGAGAGCCTCCGCTCTGCTTTGCAAGGTTTCTATCATTCTTCACCCCAAACTTCTTTTTTCCCAATCCTTCTTTACATCAAACTTCTCTCTCAATTGTTCTTTTTTTTAATTTTTCAGTTGCTTTTTGTTATCAATTTGTTAGTAGTAAAAATTTGCATCAGCATTATTAGTGCTTCTTATTTATTTGATTGAAATTATCATCAAAACTTACATATCTTGATGTATTTCTGATATTTGTTTGGTCACGATTTTGTAGTTAAATTGAACTTTCAATGTTCTTATTTTTCAATCAATCAACATTGTTGCAACTGATTCATTGTTCAGTGTCTAGTTATGAATTTGGTAGAAGGACGTAGTTTAAAATGAATGTTTTTTATTGATATGATACAGGTCTTCCTACAGCATCTCACTCCTCTTCTCAATCTTTCAACATTCACTGCCTTGTGGCTCACCATACTTGATTTCATGGACAAATACATGCACGCTGATCAAAGCGATTTACTGGTTGCTATTCATTTTTATATTTTCCATCCTGTATTATTTTATGAATGGTCTCAATTAAAAAATATTAAAAAGTATTTCCATTTGTTGATGCAAAGACGTTATAATTTTATTGCACCCGAAATCATGCAATTGGAAAAGCATTTAAAAAGTGATTGAATTCCATTTAAAAAGTGATTCTATTAATGGTATAGAATAATTAATTCTAATAAACAAATTATATATGATCATATTTCCATAATAATATTAAACCATTAATTATCAAAAGCTCTGTGAATGAGTTGGAAAGAGATTTGGATAATTTAATATATTGGTCTAATTTATATGGAATTATGAATATACAAAATTTGTTTGTTATTGATAGAATTGATTATTTATTAACATTCTATATGTAGTCAGTTTATTTTTGTGATTCTATTTATGTAGGGCTATAATTATTTAAATCAATTATTATGAATATTATTATTTTTTATTTTACTTTTTATTACAAGTTAACTTTCGTTTTTGGAGCTGGGTGGGGTATTGTGTGGAAAGAAATGGTCAGTGAAGATGAAAGGGATGGTATATAAAGCATGTGTGAGAGCAGCGATGGTATATGGTGGTGAAACTTGGGTGTTGAGGAGAGAGGAGGAAAGTGTACTGCAGAGGGCTGAAAGAGCTATGGTGAGGATGATGTGTGGGGTTAAAGTGAAGGATAGGAGGAGTAGTACAGAGCTGATGTTAATGATGGGACTGAATGAGGACATTGTGACATTGATAAGGAGATCGAGATTGCGGTGGTATGGACATGTGTTGAGAAGGGATGAAAGGGTCGGGATTAGGCGAGCGTTGGAGTTCGAGGTTGAAGGAGTGGTAGGAAGGGGTCGTCCGCGATTGGGATGGAGAGAGCAGGTGGAGAAGGACAGGATGAAGGCGGGGTTGCGTGATACTGAGGCGAGTGACAGATGTAGATGGCGTCGAGGGGTATTTCGGTTTCATCATAGGTAGCCAAACGGCAACCCCCGATCTCGGGGAAAATGTCGTCTAAACGTGTGTTGTTGTTGTTGTAACTTTCGTTTTTGCGTTTTTGGTTTTTGCGTTTTTTTCTCATATGGTTTAACAATTCTTGTCTAATAAGTATTCTGTCTCGTTCTATTTTATTTTACTTTTTTTTATTGATATTTATGATTACTTATAATTATTTAATTTTTATTTTGTTATTTGTTTTTTAATTTATTTTATTAAATTTGATTATTACTATTTAGTTATATTACCTGAGCATATGGGCCTGGCCTGCTCTCATATTTTTTTCTCTCTTGAGTAAATGGATGTACAAATGATTCAATTATGTGCATAAACAACTTCGTCATCTCAGTTGGAAGCCATTCCAGAGTCTCTGAAGAACATGTTGTTAGTCATGCATACAGCCGGCATACTACAAGAGAAAGCGGATATGGATGAGGAACAACTTCAAAAAGTCGATGTTGTAGATAAAGAAGATGCAAGCACAGATCATCATACTCGAATGGAAAACCAACTGTGGAAACTGACTTGGGATCGCATTAATGTTTTTCTTCCAACCCTTAAGGAGGAAGTTTTCAAGAAACATGACGCAGGTTTCTGTTGCCCATTTCTAATTTTTAAAATTAAAATTTTAATGTAAAAATTTTTTGAACTCTTTATACAAATGGCCTTATTTGCAGAGGAACCAAAAACTTTGAAAGTTGAATTGTAAATACAAGCAATCTTATCATTTGCTCACGTTAGCCAGACAATTTCGTCATCTAATGTTAAACAGAGAAAATAAGTTTGTTTGAAAAAAAACGTAGGTAATTAAAATTTATCTATCTTTGAGTCAAGTTGCTGTGAGCTTATGTCGTCAATGTACTTTCCATCGTGCTTATTCTCACCAGAGTGTCGGAGTCGGAATTTTTTGAGGAGTCGGAGTCGGATTTTTTTTATTTATTTTTCTGAAAAATTTTTTGGGGTCGTGTTTTTTGGAAAATTTTAAGCCGAATTGCTGTTGGATGTTCTCAGATATGACATGGGTGGCTAAAAATAACATACGACGATGGATGGCTATGAATAACATATGAATCATTAAGTACGATAACATATGATGATGAGTGGCTAGGACTAACATATGAGGAAAAAATCCAAAGAGTGAATTGTGATGAATTTAGGCTACTAAGAGCCAAACTAATTTGCAATTACAAGCAGAATTCTTTTAGAATTCACTGAATTCAGATTTAACTCTAATAGTCAACTTTTGAAGAACCTCTATTGTGGGGTTGAATCTGAATTCGTGGTTAAATGAGCTGAATTGATAGTAATTAAATAATTTTTAAAAGTTGATAATTGATAACTAATAATAATTAAATTATTTTTTTCTAATTATTTATAAACTTTACCTAAACGTGACGAATTGACAGATGTACGCCCACTGTTGAAACTGCCCCCCGAAGACCCCACTCTTCCTGCAACTGATCAACCACTTCCTCAAATGTCGTCACCATCACTAGTTGCCCATCCAGCGGAGTGTTCCAGCGTCGTATCACATCATGCAACTTCGCATTCTCCCATTCAAACAACTGCACTAACTTCGTCGTCAAATCTCGATAATTCACAGAACGGCAAAGTAGAGCCACATGGTTTGTGTGTGTTTTAAAATTTGTTGTTCGATTCATTAGCACAAGTTGATCAAAAGTCAAACATCTATTTTGTGATTAAGATAATAATTCGAAGATGACTCATTGTTATATTTGCTCGTGAAATTTCACCTGAAAGCGATGTATCAGCAACAACTTTTTCAGTGTATGCTCTGAGGAGACATTGCTTTAGTTTGTTGATTTTTTGTTGCACGGCTCAGTATGACAGTTGGAAAGGTGAGAAAGTTGAATGAAGACAGGCGATGTGTTTTATGATCGAGGTCTGATGTTAATTATATAGGTTTGTTGGCGCTTGCCTGGATATGAGTTTCAATGTTAAAAAGCAGCAATTTTGTGACCAATGCGGAAAAATAGGCTGCCAACGAAGGAACGGAATGAAGGTGACAGGAATTATTTAAAATTAGTTGAAAAGTCGAGTTAGGTGATGGTACCTGCGTGTGATAGTTTAATTCGTAATAGAGTTAAAAAATAGAGGAAAAATGGAAATTGTCAACATGATCGGATTTAGAACAGTGCTTCGTGGTTCTCCAATGATGAGCGTAATCAAAGAAGATATCATGATTTACATGTTTGATGATATGGTTGCTGCAATGTTGGCGAGTTGAACGAAGATCATTGATGCCCATAGTTGATACCAATTATGTTTCCTGCATTTCGGTCACCCAGTTCTTCGAAGATACCATGCGGTACATATTTATGCAGTTTCGCTTGTGTGAAAGAACGCGATAAATATATTGAAAACTTAAAGTTCTGTTCAAAAGTTAAACTATACCTTAACTTTTTTTTAAAGAGGTAACAGATGACGTTTCACCGAAGTCTCAAAACTCTCCAGAAAGTTTGCTGACTTCGATGATAACCTCTATGAACATGCCCCATCAATATGTTCTCCACCCTCCACTCCCCCCCGTGACAGACCTACAACCAAGGGCCGGTCTGCCCCTCATCATCAACCAGGAGATACTTCAGAGCACTGTCATTCCCTTGATATCCAATCAAGTTTGTTTTGTGGTTGTTATCTATTTATTCTCATCTGTTCAAAAGTTTCTGATTAAACTCTTTTTATTTACAGCCGGGTCAAATGAAAATTGATTCTTCAGGACAATGAAGAAGCTGAACAATTATTCAACTACAATTTGTTAAATAGTGTTATTTATTTAACTTTCTATATGATTGTATATAATAATGAATATATATATATATATATATATATATATATATATATATATATATTCATTATAAATGAATAAAATAGGAAAGAGACCATAGTTTATACAATGGTTGTTTTCTACATGCATACGTAATCATACATACAAACGCACATACATATATACATAAACGCACACATATGCCTACATACGTACGTACATATTCATACATATATATATTTTAATTTATGAAATCTACCGAATTTCTAGCGTTGACTATTTTTTTATTACATTTCTCAATATTTCTAACCAAATTCTTGTCGTCATTATTTATTTTATTGAAGTTAGAATAATATACAGTTTTCCAATTCATTCTTGAGTGTATAGGACCTATTTCGATTTTTCAATCATCTTTAGCACTTGTTGCAGTTTATATAAAGAATTTGTATAACACAGTACTTCTTGCAGTTTATATAGGGAATTTGTATTCCCTATGTAAAATTCCCCATATAAACTGCAACAAGTACTGGATTATACTTTTCTTCTTCATCTTCTTTGTTGGTGTCTATTGTTATTTAGATTAGTAATTGGGCGTCGGGTTGGTAACAGTGCTATGTGTTTTGTTTTGTTATGTGTTTTTTTGCGGTTTATCAGTGTCTTTAATTTAATGAGAGCGATTGCGTTTGCATATCTTAGGTGTGCAAGCGCGGTCATTATTTTCTTGTTGTGAAGAAGTTGGCGGGTTATTGAAGTTATATATGTTGATTGTTAGTGGGGTTTTTTAGCACCATTCTGTGTAGGCATTTTGAAATGTCTAGTTTATAGATACCAGTATACGAATGTTGCTGACTCTTGATGTCGCGGTGTTAAATGCCAATAATTCAGTAAGATTCATGCAGTATGTATTTTCACACAGGTTTTATTCCTAATATAAATAATATATATATATATATATAACGCGCACTCAAAGTATGTATATATATATATATATATATTGGGTTAAGACTGTCAGAAATGCAATTATTGATGATAACAAAAATCACGACATGTTCGGCGTTAGTTAACTTTCTGTTTAACTTTACGATTTTTCTAACGGTTGATCGTTAATCATTTACAAGTTTTTTTAGTCCAGAACAAAAATTATGCTTGATAGAGCAAAAAAGCTTTTTTCGGTATTCCTATACCATCTTCAGTGTTCGAATTGATACGTTGTGTATGTGGCCAGATGCTCATACTGTGTCTCTACTCTGTTGATTCTTTGTTTGTTCAAATTGCTCATAGTTAAACAGGAAGTTAACTAACGCCGAACATGATATGATTTTTATCAATAATTGCATATATGTATATATATGTATATATATATATACATATATATATACATATTTATTTGTTGGAAGGAGACCATATTTTATACAGTATATGGAAATAAGGAAAATTTGAGAAAACAAACTTTAAATTGATTAATGCCTACAATTCGGTAGACTTTATACAATACTGTGTGTATGTGTATATATATATATATATATATATATATATATATATGTTGGTAATAGACCATAATTTTTTATCAATATTCTATAAATTCTACCGAATGTTTGGCGTTAATATGTTTGTAGTTCGTTTTTTCAATTTTTCTCACTAAAGTTTTTTAGTGAATGTTTAGTTTATTAAAATTCAAAATAAACGTATTTTCCGAATTCATGCTGCAAATAAGGCCATATTTCGATTCCGAATGAATCATTATCAGTGCTTTCTGCTGTTTATACAGGGAAATATTGACTTTGTCAAAATGAATTTAGATGGAGATTGACTTTGTCAAAGTGAATTTAGATGGAAATTAGGCGTCAGGTTTCTTTATTGGCTGGTCATCTTCTTTGGTCTCCTTTTCTTCATCGATAGCATCATATTCTTCTTTGTCACTATTTACGATGCTAGTTTTTATTACTTCTTTGTTTTCGTTGTTGGTTAAGCGCCGGGTTAGAAGTGAGGTTGTCATTTTTTGTTGTATGTTTATTTTTGGTTTATTGATGTCAATTAGGACTGCTTCTGCAATTTTAAGATGCGTGTAGTTGCTGTTCTGGTATATTACTTTGGTGTTACTGTCGAGGATATATATATATATATCTAACACCAAACATATTATTGATAAAAATCACTGCATGTTCGGCGTTAGTTAACTTCATATTTAATTTTTCGATTTTTCTAACGGTTGATCGTAAATCATTTTCAAGTTTCTTGAGTTTAAAACCAAAATTTTTTTGTTTATTTTATGCATGATAGAACAAAACTTTTTTCGCTATTCCTATACCATCTTCGGTGCTCGAATTGATATGTTGATATGTACACAACATATCAATTCGAACACCGAAGATGGTATAGGAATATCGAAAAAAACATAAATGCATAAAATAAACAAAATTTTGGTTTTGAACTAAAGAAACTTGAAAATGATTCACGATCAACCGTTAGAAAAATCGATAAGTTACATTGGAAGTTAACTAACGCCAAACATGCTATGATTTTCCTCTATAATTGCATTTCTGACAGTTATAATCCAATATATTTATATTATTGTTAAAATTTATATAGCGCCAATTATAATTAAAAATTTTCATCAGTACTCCATGTTCATAAAATAAAATAAAATAGTTCATGACAATGATTTGAACAAATATGTCTTTAGGCGTCTTTTAAATTCTATGAATTAATCCAGATTGACGAGACGAAGTTCATCTGGCAGTCTATTCCAAAAAGTCGGTCCTGAAACGGCAAAATCTATTTTACCGGTTTTCATGTTTTTTTTTCGATATAATTTTTTTGAACTGGAGGTCCTTAATTTCCCATGAGTTCCCAGGGAGGAAATTTTTATGCATTTATACGACATGTACCCAGGAGTCAGACCATTTAGGCATTTAAACACTATTACCCTCAATTTGAACTAAATTCTTTGCTTTATAGGCAGCCAATGCAACTCCCATTAAATTGGAGAGGCATAGTCAAACCTTAAACCACCAACAACAATTTTCGCGGCTTGATTCTGAGCTACCTGCAACTTCGAAATCTATCTATCCGATATTCCATATATTTCATATAAAAGGCAGTTGCAATAGTCAGTCTAGTGTTGACAAATGCGTGCACAGGTGACGTGAGAGCGTCTTTGTTTAAAAACTTTCTTATCTGAAGAATCTGGCGCAGTTGGAAAGAACACGTCTTAACCAATTCTGAAACATGTTGACCCATTGTTAATTTTGAATCGGTTTTATCGCCAAAATTTTTAACAGATTTTAAAAATTTAATTCTACACCCACTAATGTTAACTGAGGAAGATTCTACCTGTGATATTTGTTGCCATGTACCAATCTATATAATCTGTGTTTTTGTTGGTTTAGCTTTAGTCTGTTTTGGCCAAGCCAAAAACTAACATCATTTATGTATTCAACCAATAAATTCATTGTTACAAGTATCATTAACGGATATTAAAAAACAAATATCTGAATATCATCGGCATATCAGTGGCAGTGGAAGCCAAATCTACGAATAATATATATAACCTCAGCTTTGTACAAAAGAAACAGAATTGGTCCCATGACAACCATGAGAGACTCCAGATCTGAGAACAGCAACATCTTTATTGTTAGAAAACTTTGCATGCTGCGATTGTCCAATTAAAAAAGAATCTAACAATTTTAACACAATGCCTGATACCTGGTACGAATGATTCAATCTATCCAATAATATATATATATATAAATTGTTAAATTTGTTGAAAATAGAATTATTATCCAAAGTCTTCATGAAAATTTAATGAAACTGTTTCATTAAAGTTATGATGAGCTTAGATAATAATTCTATTTTCAACAAATTTAACAATTTCCAGAAAATTTTATTAAGGAAATTTGAAAAGGCAAACTTAAAATTGATCAATGTCAACAATTCGGTAGAATTCATACAATATATATATATATATACACATATATATATATATAACAATTCGGTAGAATATATATATATATATTTCAGCATTCCTATACCATCTTTGGTGTTTGAATTGATACGTTGGGTCAAATGCTCAATTAACTTATAACAATGTATCAATTGAAACACCAAAGGTGGTATAGGGATACCGAAATATGCTTTTTTGTTCTACCATGCATAAAATATATATATATATATATATATATATATATATATATATATTCTCCACATTAATAGAATTAACATTCTCGTCTTCATTGAAAGGCTGGCTCTGTTTTATCCAGATTTAACTATTTTCAGAAATCATCTAATCTTGTCTAAAATAAGTTTAACTTTATCGTACAAATCCTAGTTTCTCAAGTTCAGCACTATTTAGTTTTAAAAAGGTTTTCAAAATTTTAGTTTTTTTTTGTCTCTAGTTTGTCATTTTTTTAATATGTATATTTTAATAATCCTATGACAATGTTATATATATTTTACAACAGATTTGCTATGGAATTTAATAATTTGTTTCTTTATACGATTTCCCTGAAATTGATTTGGAATTATTAAAAATGTTCTTATTTAATTTTTACATGAATGTATCAACTTATTTTTAGGTGGTTTTATCAACTCATTACTGTACGTGATTGTTTATGAAATTTGTTGATATTTATTGAAGTTTTAGTTAACTTTCTTATAATTAACTTAAAACTAACCAGCTCATTTCACCATTAACATTTTTGTTTATTAGCTTTTAAATGATGTTCCAAAAACAAGTTGGGCACTATTTTCTGTTCATTTATTATACATATAAAATTATATTATTATAATTATTACTATTTTAACAATTAATAATATTATTTTGTATTTGATAATTATTGAATCACACACACACAACGCGTGCGCACACACACACACGCACACACACACACACACACACACACATATATATATACATACAAATATTGAATTAAGACTGTCATAAAATCAGAAAATCACAGCATGTACCGCGTTAATCACAGCATATATATATATATATGCGTGCGTGTGAATGTGTATGCGTGTGAGTGTGTATGCGTGTGTGTGTGTCTGTGTGTGGGGATAATTCTGTTCATCATTTTTTTTATGGTAAGCTTAAGATTGATAATTTTTGAGGCACGTTAATTAAAATTACGACGAACATGTATGATCAATTTTTATAACAGAAAATTTTATTTAAATAATTATACAATTGTTTCAGTGAAGGAACGGTTGACGACCAGTCTGGATGGCTTCGTATTTGAATGATCTGGATCTCCCTCATTGTTGTTGCTTCGTGTACTTTTTGTTTTCATGCGTTCAACGTTATTGTTCAGCAGTCTTAATGCAGTTTTATTCAGTTGTGGCTTGGTGACTGTTGTCTTACTCATGTGAAGTGGAGGCAGCGTCGTTAGCCGAGTGTCGTTATCAACATGATCGCTTCCTGGTGTCTTGTTGTTAATCCCTCTTTTATGATCCCAAACTTTGATATGGTTCTTGATGTGGTCCTTGCTGCCGGGTTTCATAATTACGTAGTCAGATATCACGATTGCGCAGATGAAGATAATCACGACTGACGTGAAGTAGAGACATTTGGACGACACCGATTCAATAGAGTTTATTATTGCTTCTAGTTTAATCTTAGTGGCATTTTTAAAATCTGATTCATCTGCAATAATGATAATTTATTTCAATTAGGTAGTGTTGTTATATCGTACGTTACAATTACATTAAATTGTGTTGTAATATTGTATAGTCCGAAATTATTTGGGTTGAAATAAATTTTGAATGACTTTGCCATAAAAAGGCTAACAGAGATTGCTTATGAAAGTAATCCTTGAATGGGATTAAAGAATTTGGATAAACAAGATCTGCGTCCCCTTCACCGAAACAAATGGGTGACTAAAATTCACTTTCACAAGTTCGCTTTTCACCCGCATTCGCGTTTCGAATAAACAACTGTAACTTGCTGTCTCAACTTTGGGTATTGTATTAGCTTTGAGGCAATCTATTCGCCACAGTTCAAGTCTTTGACCATTTTTACGATTACGTTATTTAATGTAATCTGCGGACTTTATTTTATTATCAACTTCTGAAAAGCTTCAAAAAATCATTATCGTTACTTTTAGCTCCTGCACTAATTTATCGCTTATAGTGAATTTCATTGTTTCCGTCTAAAGTGTGTTCAAAACGCCACGAGTGACTATGATACGAACGAGCGCTTTTGAAAATGAAAACAAAAAATATAAACATGTTGCGTTGTTTCTGGAGCCCAGTGCATATAATAAACGGCAATGCGGTTTAAAACTACAGTAACCGCACCTTTTCCACGTTTGCGGATGAAAAATTTCTAAAACGATGATTTTGCGGTTTCCGTTGGTGCGGTTTCAAGTTTCTATTTTTGAAAAACTGTCCGCGCAGTTGAAGTTTGGAAATTTAAAGTTTTTGAAAAGACATAATTTTATTTTTTGACTTCCCCTAAAATTTATTATCCTTAATTTCGATTTGTTTTTCCTCTTTGTTGATAATTTTTTGTTAGCTGGTAGGGGTATAACGTAGTTAGACAAAGAGTTTTAATTGGAGTTTTGTTAGTAAGGTATTTAAAAATGTCTCGGTTCAAAAAAATTAAATTTATTATTGCTAAAGATCACGAATAGAAAATATTTTGAACTAAAAGAAAGAGCATGTTTTTTCTTTTCTACACCTGCATCGAACTTTTCATCTAAGTGGGTTAGGCCAGCCCTGAATAATATAGCACAAAAAATGGTGATTCTGTCTTCATCTTAACATAATTGAAAAAATGCAACGTTAAAAAAACAATTCACTTACAAAAAATGTTGCCTTTCATTGTTTTATTTTTTAGTGCGAATAAATTGCCTCAAATCTATCATCGCCTAATACAACATCCGAAGCTGAGACCGCAAATTACGGTTGTTTTTTCCAAACGCTAATGCGAGTGAAAAGCGTCGCGGATATGGGCAGATGTAAACGTTGGTGCTTTAGCGGTTGCGGATTTCAATGTTGCGGATTTGGAAAGTTGCTGTTAGGAAAAATATAATTTGCACAGGGTTCTAGGGTTTCTTTTAAGTCGACTTATTTGTTCAAGATTGCAATTTTTATTTATTAAATTTGTATAGAGATTTTTATTTATCGCAATACTGACCATAAGCTACCATCGGTTGGTTTAAGGAATTAATGGATGTTGTCGCTAAGTAGTCTGTCTGATTTCCATCTGTTTGAAAGATTACGAAAAATATTGGATTGAAAAAAAGTACGTAAATTAAAATATTTAACTATTACCCGCACTTTCGTTAAACATCGTGTAATTTTTTAAAATGTTTAGTTCTTGTACATGGGCTCGATTCCATGTGGATAATTTTTTCATTAATTCGACGTTAGTGTGTACGTATATTTCACTGTCAAAATTCAATATGTTTTGTATTTCGCCGTTCATTAAAATGGTAGACATCTGACGTTCATAATCTACTCCAAATGCATACGAATTGAGCCTGTATTTCAAAAAACTAGTGAACCAGAGAGGAATAAAAAGAAAAAAGATAAAGACAAGAGCCAAGACAACAAGATTTGGCAAAATACTGCAATGTGAGCGTTGTACGATATCTGAATACCATTTAAATTTTAAGATGTTGACTAAAGAATGTTTATAACAATAAGAATTATGGCAATCTTGTCCGTGAGAATAAAGCCCGTTACATTCAAACAAAGGCATCTTATCAGAATAACACCGAAAATGTCCTAAAATGTCTTCTTGAATTTGAAAAGAAGTTGTTACGTTATTCAATGATTTATTATGGTTACGAAAATTTTGTTCAAGTGAAGTGACAATAATTTTTGGTTGATTCGTGGTTTCGATTTTCAAATAAGGAACTGATTTGCCACAAAATGAATAACCATTGAACAGGGATGACAACTTACAAAAGCCATAATATATTAAAAGAATGTCAAGCAGCGCTAAGATGTAAAAAATAAAAGCTGGTTTAAAGAACTCAAAATATGATTTTGTTTCAGCTTCACAGGGCTTGTTGGAATTTTCAGGAGGGGTTCTTTTCACGTTTCTGTTGAAATCGTCATACCTCTTGACTTGGAAAAATGACAATGAGTTAAAATCGTATGTCGTTAGTATCTCCATGTTACTGTGAGTATGAACATCAGGATTATAACAATTAGTTTCAACTTTAGACATCTCTAGTCTTAACAGAAATTCAAGTGATTTATTGTTCACAATAAATCTGAAAATTAATGAAATATTTTTAAACGTATTTCGTTCAGCTTAATGTGTCAATTTTGATTAAAAATTTTAAAAATTATAATTTTAATACCTTTGAAAAAATCTTGACTTGGAGGTTGCAAATAAATGTTCCGCGATGTAGATTCCTAACTGATGCAAACTTTCAGAGTTTTTAATCTTAGTTTCCTGGTATTGCTTCTTATTATCACCACTTTTAAAAGTGTTGTTTATTTTGTTTGAGCCAAAGTAGCTATCAATGTTTTTGTGCATATTCAACCAGCCATTATTTTTTAATTTGTTCCTAAATAAACTAAAATCTATTAATTGTCGTTTCAGTTCATAGTCGTGGAGAGCGTACATATGGCTGGTGATTTCTTCTACGTTCTCTTTGCTGGAATTGTAAAGGTGAAATAAAAAATCCGGATTTTCAAATGTTATTTGATTAGTATACATCTCACCCGAACTTGAACATTTGCAAGTTTTTTTATTCTGATTACGCGATTCATGAATCTTTACATACGGTTTTTCGTGGCACTTTATATTGGAAAATATGTTTTTCCAGTTAATACTCATGGAGTAAGATATGTCAACGACAGTCATTAAGTAATAATCGCGTATCAACTGATTGATTGACTGTGTAAACAGAAAAATCTCTCTCGTGTTCAATGACAATTTGTAAATTTCTAATCGGATATGATGATAAAATGCGTAGATTCCAAAACTTGAGGTTATTGCAAGAATGATAAAAACTCTGATAAAAATAAATAAATAATATAATATGAAAATCACGATGGCACAATCCTTGCTATTTTTCGTTTTAGCCAATCGTTTTTTAATGCCTTGATCGGAATATCTTTTAATGTCTGAAGGACAGTTGCTACTAAAGGAAGACGGTTGATTTGCCATGAGTTGTTCATCATTTATGCTTGATAGCAAAGTCTGTTGCTGAAGTTTTGTGTTGATTTTTAAAGATAAGTAGCATGATAGAATTATAACTGAACCGGCAATGATCAATGAGCATAAATAGACAACATTGCTCATAAAATAATTTTCATGTTTAAATTTTAAGTTGTCGTGTATTTCTTTTAAATAAATCTGATTAACGACAACACCGAACAAATTATATGCATTTACATTCGTTCCGTCACTTATATGCAAACCAAATTTGTTGAATTTACTGTAGTCAGTTTCAGAATTTCTTGTCTTAATAATATTTCTTCCCGAATCATTTGTTTTGTGAACGCGCTCGTGCAAATGCATAGTGATATTTAAAATCGCAGGACAATTTACCATAAACTGGTATGAAAGTAACAACTTTTTCAGATGAAGATCCGACAACTGAACTTCTAGGTAACATGGACAAACTTTCAAGTTACCTGTGCAACGTTTTAAAATGCAAATGGTAAAATGACAAATATTTAATAAAAATACACGAATTGCATGTTTAAACTTAACATAAACGTTAGTTTGATGGCAAATGTGATTTTGAACGAATGATTTGTTAACAGTAGCGTACAAAAAGTGAAAAATGCCCGAGACAGCAAGGCCTGTCTCTTCCTACCAATAAATAATTTTTTTAATTCGTATGTAAATAAATAACTACATGGAAACAGTTAATACCAAGCAAAAAAAACTGTTTTATAGAACAGCATAAATAAATATGAACAAGTGACAGCCGTATTTTCTTAGAAGAATATTAGTGACTTTGTGATTTTGTACAAATCCATTAGATTTATTATTATGAAAAGATTTTTGAACAAAATTTACAGAGAAAGATTTTTTCAAAGTTGAATGTGTCTTCATATTCATTTTGGCGCCCCCCACACTGTGGCGCCTGAGGCGGCTGCTCCTTTTATCCATGTATCTGTACGACACTGGATTTATGTAGATAATATTGCATTCGTTCAAAAACAACATTATCACAAAAACATTTAGAAATAAACAGAAGAAAAAAAATACCGACCACTTATAAGGATTGACAATTTTGATGGCTTACTTTCTCTAACAAAATTTATATGCAGTGGATCGTCATTCAGTATCTTTAATCCTCTGTTTACGTTTCTGCTAGACCACCATTTTAAAAAAGAAGCAGATTCTGTAGGGCGGTTGATGTTGTATATTCAACGGTGAACATAATAAATATCTTATAAATAGTTTCATGATTAAAAATAACTACATTTGACAATTTTTTAATAAGCTGTTTGATATTAAACTATGCGAAGTATTTTGAATATTTTATTGAGGAAATATGACAAAACCAACAAACAAACGTGACATCGCAAAATTAACTTATAATAGCAAGTCATGGCAATGATTTCATTTCAATTGGGAACTAAAAAATTATGCTAATGCAAAAATATGTGCTGGTTGATTTAGCCCGAATTTTTTCTCCTCAATTTTTTTGTAATTCATTTCTCGGTATGCTGAGAGTTGACAAATTGCAATTTATTTATACGCACCGATGATTGATTCGTTTCATCTCAGTACCGTTCGTGTTTGTTGTTACGAAAAATTTTTTATGCGCATTTCCTTTGCGGAATAATACTCAAAAATACTGTCTTATAAAGTTTGTAAACTGAAGAGTAAGTTATTCGCTGCAATTAAGTGAAGTCGTTCATCATTTTCACACTACAATTATTATTAAATGTATGAAAGTCGATAATCGAAAAAATGACAGTAATGCAAAAGAAATAATTAATTATGCCGAAAAAAATTGAAAAATTTTCATTTTATTATTACAATTTTTTTGTAAAAAAATGAGTCTTGATGACAATTAAACAAAGGCAAACCTGGGATGGATAGCAAAATATCTGATCCATTGTCAGCAAACATTTGAAATTTGTACAAGAAACCAGGTCCTCTTCTATCATTTTGTGTGTAGAAAGGATGGAAGAATTTTTTTGGATTTAAGATATTTTGATGTCTGTTCAACGTTCGAAAAAGTGTTAAATTTTTTTCACATCCGTCTTTATTTGCCCAAGACCATGATGTGTAAGCAAACGGTTTTGAAAATTCTGTCGAAAGAGCATAAACATTACTAGAGATGGAATGAACAGCGCTCTGGTTGTTGAGGTGATCTGCTGATGGCTGATGCTTATTTTCTTTATTTGTTGTAACATTCTGTCGATTTGGTTCGTAATACCTTTCAACTGGCTCTATGCTGTACTTCCACTCGTCATCTGCACGGTCAGCAGATATTAAGATCTCTTCTGGCATAACGAACGGACTTGAAACTGTACTCGCTTCTATAAAATTTTTGTTATCGCTTGTAAATGTCTGAGTGGATGAATGAGTACTGAGGTTATCAGGCACTTCTAGAGTTTCGTAGAATTTTGGGAGTTTCATTTGCAAAGCGGTTATATAGAGCCGAACGCCAACCTTATTAAATTAATAATAAAATTAAGTAAGCACTATTTTATTTTTATATTTATGCAAAAATGGCTTGGGCGAAACCCTCGCCAACAAATGAAATAATCAAAGCAGTCTCAACCGAATCAGTAAACAACGAAAAATTTTTAATTAATGTCACAATCTATTACATTGTATTAATTTACGTAATGTTATTCAGTAATAGCATTTATTTGAATGTTTTTATTTTTCACGTCATATGCATTAAAATACTGTTGTAAATCTCTTGACCTCGTAACTACCAATGTTACGAGGTTCCGATGTTATGACTTCAATGATCTCTATATTTCCAACACCAGTTTTGTAGCTTCCAACGATCGTCGAGTGTTTGTTATTCCATAGGTTCAAGATTTCAGATAGATGAACACAACTGCTTCAAACGCAAACTTTGTTGAACGTTTATTTGAATACCAACAGTAATAGAAACATCGAACTAATCCAAGCAAATACATAAATCACATTTAAGACTTCGCTTCTTCTGCTAGAAACTTGACTAGAAACCTGAAACCTAACTAAGCAGGACATATATATATATATATATATATATATATATATATATATATATATATAGTCTAGATTTTTAGCACACAAAACAATATTTCTTTACAACCCTCTATAGTTTACAATCCAAAAAAAACAAATATAACAAAGATAACTATAATCAAATAATAAATAATATAACGCAATTTGATCGTTCCGGCGGTTATAACAATACCTATCTCATAGGTTTTATATTACTGGTTTTCGTTCTTTTACTTCACATATATGTGATAAACAACTCGTAATATCATTAGAGCAGAAACGGTTCCATGCATATTACGAAACGAGTTATCTTGAAATGTGACTTAGTATTTTAATCCATCTTACAGACTGTTGTTGATAATAATTTAATTAGTAAACAAAAACAGAAATCTAAGGTAGTTATGATAACTTTTTGGAATTGAAAAGAAAAACGTAGGCTAAACAAATTACATTCTGTGGCCAGTGGCGTACTGAAGGTGGCAGGCAGCAGGACCTGTCGGCACTCCCTCTACCCACCCATAATTTTCGTAATTTTTTTTGTAAATTATTTCCATTTGTAATATTTTGTGTAGCTCGTAATAGCTACGTTTTATGCATGGAATTTTAGAAATGAATTCTTTTACATCGCATTAGAAAGAAGCTTCACTGGAAGTGGAGGCCTTGTTGACGTCGCACATTTGTTATCGTTTATGCCGGACACATCCTAATAGCATTTAATAATGACTGCTGAGAAGCGGTGAAAATTAAAACTGAATATAACGACCAAAACGCTTCTCGATAAAAGTTCAAGTACCATAGCTCAACTCCTATTATACAAATCCACGGCTTTGTAGGCTAAATATCTTAATATGGATTAATTTTCATATTAATTAATTAATTAATTAATTCATTAATTAATTTTTTTAAATGTGTGCAGCTTTGTAATTGATTTGTTCATTTGTTTTCAAACCAATAGTTTTGGACTGAAACTTTAATACTTTCAGTTCATTGGTTATAATTGTATAACAAGACTTTATTTAAATTGATTATTGTAAATTACTTCATTACAAGATTGTAATTTAAACTGTAATGTAAATTGTAATAACTGACATATTCATATTCACGTATGGCAGCCTCCAATCAAAACTTTATTTCTGTTCAGATAGCAGCTCCCAACATATTTTTGCATATTTGACCCTGTTCGACTAGCGGTCTCAAATGCAACGGGCTGCGATGTAACGGGATCAACCAAAATTAACATATTGAAGACTACACATTTATTTGCAATGTTCAATCAACAGGATTGCCATGGACTGCCATTGTTATTAATGATGTTTCAAATCACAATTGAAATAAATTTTTTTGAGATGAAGAATGTTTTTTTTAATTTTGATTAGTATATTGCTCACGTCCCTTTACTTGTATACAAATAATTTGATTAAATTTTATGAAATAATTTGTAATTTTCCGCAGATTAACAATTTTTACAGTTTGATAAACCAAAATATACAGTGTCTTGTCTGCATGGTTACTAATTTCAAGATAATATTAAATCGTCGATCAGACCAAGGGCTATACATTTAAATTCAAATTATTCTTACTAAAATATACAAAAAAATTAAAAGATCAACTATGAAACAAAAATGTAATTAAGAATTGAACCCGAACTTTGATGAATTTGCGCAAGAGCTTCTTCTTTAAATGACATCTGTAATGATCGTCGACTCTCAAAAATTTGGGTTCAATCGTGTATCTGAAAACATTTCCTAAAAAAATTATTGAACGTTGGTGAATAATCATGCTGAGAAAAATGACTATAGTTTGAGTAATTAATGTAATTAATTATAAAAATGATGCTGTAAAGTTGAAAGAGCCATTGATTGGTCTTGTATAAATTTTCTGAAATTAATGATTTTTTAAATGTGATATTCTTATCAACTTTACAATCGCAGCACAAGTATTGAGACATCATTTTTTGTTTGTGCAAAACAACAACTACATCGACATCAACAGCAGGTAACGGTAGTGAGAACATCAATGTTGGTACAGACCCATGGCACATTCGATTTGAGCATCGGTGCATTCTGAAGAATAAAAATGTTTGCAGTGCGTACTGGATAAGCAGTCGATGTGACAACATTGCTGGCTACCTTTTCAGGAAAGTGTGCATGTTTGTTTGATTGTTTGTTTGTGTGTGTGTGATGTGTTGTGTGCGTGTGTGTGATGTGTTGTGTGTGCGTTTGCATGTGTGTGTGTGTGAGTGTGTGTGAGTGTGTGAGTGTGTGAGTGTGTGTGTGTGTTAAAAAATATTATATGTGTTTTACTAGCATAACTTCATATATTACAATTTTTATAAAAACGTTCCATTGTTAATTATAATTTAATAGTAAAAATTTTAAAAACACACCAAATAAAAACTTATCCTTTTGAAATATATAAAACTAAGTTTTACAAAAAACGAATGATTATTAGATTTAAAAAATAATAATAATAAATGTTATCATCAGCCGATCAACCAGACCAACAAACTGACCAACTTGTTGATTAACTGATTGACTAAACTGAACGACCAATAAACTAACCGACTGATCAACCGACTGATCTACCGACCAGCTAAGCAAACCAACTTGCCAAACAACAGCCCGATTGACTGACCAACCATCCAATCAACTGATCAACAAATTAACCAGCCAACTTGCCAGCCATCCAACTTGCTAACCAACCGACTGACCGATCGACTAACCAATCAAATGACTGGCCTACCTACCAACCGACCAACAAACCGACTGACCATTCAATCTACCAACCAACCAACTAACCACCCACCCAGTCGGCCAATCACCAAATCAATTAACCACCAATTCAACCAGTCAACCAACCAATCAACTAACCAGTTAACCAATCAAATAACCAACTAACTAGTCAACCAACCAACCATTCGTTCGGCACGTGCTCGTCATCAGACAACTTTCGCACATGATTTTAGACGATTGGCATTCATTGGATGGGAATGTTATGGGATGGACCACATCCCAGGACGAAGATGATGATGACGAGGATGATGATAAAATGGATGTTGATGACAGTGGGGCGGGAGGGGAAATGGCGAAGAGTTGTGTGAGTAAGTTGCTGCTGGATGCGCATACAAGACTGTTTTCTGCCGACGAGACCATGGCGGGATGGCTGTCCTGATGTTGTTGAAGATAAATTATTGAAATACATATGTATGAATTAATTAAAAAGTTTTAGTGATCATTATTGTTTACTAGTTATTATCAAAAAATTTGGTTTAGGCTTGTGTTCACAAGAGAAAGAAGGGGCTCTTACATTTAATGAGATTATTGGAAAGTAAATTTTTTCAACGCCGTCCCCATAAGAACCGCTACTGCATGACTTCAGTCTGAATCTTTCCCGGGTGATTTATTAATTATTGATTGATCTAATTCACTGTCCGATAAATTGTTTCACACGTTTTTTTTAATTAATTATGATTAAGATTATTTTACTTTATTACTTGAGGTTAAAGTAAACTTCTATTTATTTATGTTATTAATTTTTATTTATTTTATTTTTTCACGTCCTAAATGTTTATTTTTATTTTATTTTAGTTTTGGCAGGAGGCGATTTGCCAGAGCCCATTTCCCGAATGATAACAAGTAGAAAAATTAAATTAAATTGCTTAGTATTGAATATTCTTTTTATTCGAGCTTCATTATTATTGAAAGTGTTCAAGTGTCCAGTTCGGTGTACATCCTACCTGCGAAAATAATTTTTTCTGAATAATTTTCTACTTCTCATCAACAGCAGGAGGAGTGGAGAAGCTTAAATTTAAACAGAACCATTCATCGTGGACATCCCACATCGGCCAAACACCATTAACCCGGTGTGCAGTCTGAAAATTTAAATGCATGCTGGGGACCAAAGCTCCTACGGAGGAATATTTTTTTCGCTGACGTAAACATTGTATGGTTATAAAATTTGATCTCCTATATTATATTGCGCAAAATATATTTTCATAAAATGTCACAGAACATATGAAAGTTGATGATATTGCTAGATAAGTTGAAATAAATTAAAAATTGTTAATACCATTTTGAGGCATGCTCCATTGACAGCCCTGACGACAAACATCTGGTTGGTCTGCACGTCAGTTGGACAGTGGCCCTTCACTTTCAGATCCCTCGAACAATTTCTCATCGTCACATTTGTCGTCCGATCTCTGAAGATTTCTAGGGCCAACGAATAATAATCAGGGACTGGGTACCTGCATTTCAATGTTTCGTTATCATCAAAGGATTTATGGCACTGTAATAAAAGTTTTTTAATTTATTGGGCGATCCTTCATTCAAAGAACTGCGTCTGGATCTCGTTCTTCGAATTGAATCCATCCAACTTGTCACATAAAGTGCTTTAATATTAATGCTATATATTCTTATGTTTTTATTTATGAACCAATTCTCGCCTAACATTCTAAAATTTGTTAATCATGGAAACTGATTGTTTGAAGGTGAGTTAGTTTGATAGTTTGTTAGTTTGAATACGTTTTTTCTTAGATTCCAAACGTGTCTGCGTCGTTTGCTGAAGTTTGCAATCTTACCGCCCACGTCTTTTGCATGGCCAAAGGTTTTGCAAGGTTTGAGTTGTTCAGTTGCAGTTGAGAAATTTTCAAGTGTTTAAATGAAATTGATAAAAATGATAAAAAATATAATACCTCATGGCAGCTTTTACGAATCTATCTATTAAATTTTAATTCCATTTACCATTAATTAGATTCTTCCGAAGTAAGTTAATGCTTGAAAACGTACAAATTATTACCCGCTTGACAATTTCTTCTGGAAGATTTTCAATATTTTTGATGTGAAAACAGTTTCCATAGCGCACATGACGTCATACATTTTGTTTTATTGCTGCCATTTAATGAAGAGACTGGAATGTCTGTAGGCCGATAACTTAGCAGAATGCAGTCAGCCAGTTAGAATATTTTATGAAAAAAATGCTTATCAATAAAAATTTTAATTCACCTCAAAGATGAACTAGTGAGATAACATTTAGCACAAGAAATTATTAGGTAAATCATTTTTCATGAAATATAACAAGCCATGAAGGTGCAGTTGTCAAGAAAATTTTTATAACTCTTGTTTCATATGACAAATGTGATATATTTAACCAAAATACTAGGGTGCCAATTTTATTCATATTGAAATCGTTAACAAGTTGAAATTATTTACGGGTTAATATTTATTTTATATGTTGAAATAATTTAAAAATTGGTCATGTTATCTATTTTTTATGCAACTAATGTGCTTTTCATCTTGAGTCGGTGCGTCAGAGTGCACACGAAAAAAAGTTGCAACATCTGCAGAGGTGCCAACATCCTCCTCTATTCATCATTTAGAATTAAATGGAAAATTCCAGCCTGTTTTGCATATTGTCGATTATTTATTGCAACGTGTTTCGTAAATTTAAAAAAAATTGTTTTCAAATGTTGCAAAATGCAGCAGTTATCAGTGAAATAATTTTATTTTAAAGAGAATGCCGAATGAAATTGTAGCTGAACAAATGAAAATATCGTCGGCACATTGTTTCATTTGAAGAATAAAACAAAAATAGGACATACGAGCATTAGGGGATCTGCTTGTAAATGCAAATTCATGGCATAAAAGAAACAAGGCTACTGAAAAAACGCAAACAAAATTTTCGCTTGTTCAACAGCGGATCTTTTTTTTATATGATTTTATTTTCAAATTTGTTGAACATCAAAACTTACAAAAATAACAAAAAAAAATAAAGCGGCTTCAATTCATATCCAGCTGTTGAGAAATCTGTTTGAATTTCTGTGCTGATCAAAATGCATAAATTAACAAACAATGTTTGAAAACGAAATGTTTTCTAAAGCGAAAGTTGAAACGACACTGTGCACCATAAATAAAATCAATTTAGTTTTGTTGTTAAATTTCGTTCAAGTTTATGAGAGGAAGACTTTTATGACGGTGCGCGTTACAATAAGTGCTGGAATGTCCTGCCAACATTTAAAAACACTTTTAAAGCTTTCAAAGAGATTCATTACATATTAGCTGCAGATAAATGTATATGTATGTATGTATTCATATAAATCTATTTGCACACCACACACATACCACACACACACACACTCACACACACACAAACATATATATATATGTATATATATGTATATATGTATATATATATATATGTATATATTTTTACAATATTCTATAAATTCTACCGAATGTTTGGCGTTAATATGTTTGTAGTTCGTTTTTTCGATTTTTCTCACTAAAGTTTTTTGGTAAACGTTTAGTTTATTGAAATTCAAAATAAACTTATTTTTCGAATTCATGCTGCAAATAAGGCCATATTTCGATTCCGAATGAATCATCGTCAGTGCTCCTTGCTGTATATATAGGGAAATATTGACTTTGTCAAGATGAACTTTGACGTTGTAAAAATTAACTTTGGTGTTGTAAAATTGAACTTTGATGCGAATTAAGTGTCAGGTTTCTTCTTTGGTCTCCTTTTCTTCATCGATAGCATCATATTCTTCTTTGTCACTATTTACGATGCTAGTTTTTATTACTTTTTTGTTTTCGTTGTTGGTTAAGCGCCGGGTTGGAAGTGAGGTTGTCATTTTTTGTTGTATATTTATTTTTGGTTTATTGATGTCAATTAGGACTGCTTCTGCAATTAATGTAATTAGCACTGATGATGCAAATTTATTAAAAATAGAACTGTTGTTATCCAAATTCATCATGCAGATAGGCCCTAATTTCGATTTTTCAAGAGTCATCTTCGGTACAGCTTTTTGACTTATATATTTTTTTATAAGGGGCTGTCCTTAAAAAATGTCATGCTTTGTGGGATAGGGGTTCCAAAATATGTTGACCGTTGTTACAAGGGAGAAAACAAGGATTTAAATCACATGATATGCTGTTTTTCAAGTTATTTTCAGAATTAATTTAAATTTTGGCAAACATCTTTTTGTCATTATTTTGTTGCTTATTAGATAGGCATATAAAAATTCATTTTTGCTTTTTGATGCTTTTTGGCATTTCATTTTATTAATGAAATTATGTACACTAGTGTATTTGATTGGATAAAACAATGTTAGATTGATTTGACTTATATTAGTCAATCCTTATCCGTGGTATGAATAGCTTACATAAAACATTTTAAATAGCTAGCAACTAATAAAAATAGTTATAATAACAATAATATGAACATTTATATAGCGCCAATTTGTACCGCTGCTTCAGAGGCACCCGGAGCCTGCGTGCACGTTTTAAAAAAATGAGTCGTCAGTCTTTTTTTTTTTTGAAAAGACTCAAAGATGAACATTGTCTCAAATCGATAGGAGGTAACGCACGCCAAGCCTGCGGAGCAGTGTTACGAAAGCCACGAGGCAGGAAGCCATGAAAAAGCTTTAGGAAAAGATTGGAAGAGCTAGAACAAGAAGGTGTGTTGAAGATCAGTTTAGTGGTTTTGTTTTGAATAATTTGTAGTTTCCTGATATATGTACCTGAGGCTTTATATAATAGAGAGTTATAGTAGTCTGATTATGACAGAACCAGACAACTACCAAAATGTAACATAAGATTTAATTATATGTCAATATGTTCTATTGCACAGAATATTTCAGATATGTTGTCAAAAGTTAGAAATTTGTCAAATGTGACACCGATTAATTTAACGAAATTCGAGATTGATAATAATAAGGACCAACCAAATTATTATCAAAGTTAACAAGCATGTCCAGACGCGTGCCATCAGCATAATGATGAAAAAAATATGTAGTATTTATTGAAAATAACACCAACAGAGGAGGCATGGGTAGTGAAGATGATGGGACTGGAACGAAGCTCCAAGGAATAACGACGATAGTTAAACAGGCAAAATTTAAATATACAATTAAAAAAATAAGTTGAATGTTTTGAAGTCGAAATTGACAATTAGTCCCGAGAAGCATGACATATATTTGATTATAACTCAGAAATGCAATTATTGAGAAAAATCACTGCATGTTCTGCGTTAGCTTCCTGTTTTATTTTTTATTTTCAATTTTTCTAGCGGTAGATATCGTAATTCATTGTTAAGTTTCTTGAGTTCAAAATCAAAATTTATATTTAACAAAAGATTTTAGCATCTCTTTCAACTCAGTTATTTATATATATATATAAATATATTTGGACTTTTATTGGAATTATTTAAGAAAGATTTGAAAAAATTTTTATTTTCTGTTAAAATGTAAAAATTGTGATTTTTTGAATCTCTAGATTGGTCACATATATATATATATATTTATATATATATATATATATATATATATATATATATATATATATATATATAGTATTAATA